GATTTTTGGAGTGGTCAGTGAACATTGGTTTCAACATGAAGTCACCAACTGCATTAACTCCTAGTGAGAGAGTCAGTCCACCCTTTGGTGCTTTGAAGTCAGGCCTTAGCTTCTTCTCTATAGCTATGAAAGTCATAAATGACACCTTTTTCCAGTATAAAGCTGTTTAACCTACTTTAAAAATTTGTGGTTTTGTGTAGACATCTTCATTAAGATCTTAGCTAGATCTCCTGGCTAACTTGCTGCAGCTTCTACATCATCACTTGCAGCTCTATGTTGTACTTTCATGTTTTGAAGACAGCTTCTTTCCTTAAACTTAATGGAATCAACTTCTACCAGCTTCGAACTGTTTTTCTGCAGTTTTCCTCCCTCTTTCAGCTTTCATAGAATCGAAGAGAGTTGGGACCTTGCTCTAGATTAGTCTTTGACTTAAGGCAATATGGTACCTGTTTAGGTCTTCTATCCAGATCACTTATTGTTGGTATAAGGCTGTTCCACTTCCTCAACATTTGTGTGTTCACTGGAGTAGCATTTATAATTTCTTAAATAGCTTTTCCTTGGCATGTACAACTTGTCTAACTGGTGCAAAAAACCTAGTTTTTTAGTTTATTCAGGTTTTGACATGCCTTTCTCCCTAAGCTTATTCATTTCTAGTTTTTGATTTGAAGAGAGACTTGCGACTCTTTCTTTTACTTGGACATTTAGAGGCTATTATAGTCTTATTAATTGGTCTATGATTGTGTTTCAGGGAATAGGAAGGAAGGAGAAGAAGGAGAAAGATGAAGGAATGATGTGTCAGTGGAGCAGTCAAAACACATACAACATATATTGATTAAGTTTACTATCATACCGGCATGGTTCATAGTATCCCCTAAACAATTACAAAGTAACATCAAAAATCAGTAATTACAAATTATTATAAAAGATATAATAACAGTTTCAAAGGTTAAAATTGCTAAAATTATCAAAATGTGACAGAGACATGAGGTAAATACTTGCTGTTATAAAAATGGCACTGATAGATTTGCTTTATGCAGTGTTGCTACAAACATTCAATCTGTAAAAAAAATGCAATATCTGTAAAGCATAAAAAAGTGAAACATAATAAATTGAGGTGTGCCTGTATTTGTATTCATTCACCATCAGTGAATAAGCCTTCCCAATGATTATTGAAAATGTACTAATTTCTTCTATCCTACTTTAAACAAACAAGCAAACAAACAAAATTCTGAATTGCTAACTCAAACAACTGTAAAAAACGCACCTCTTAAATATAGTGCACTTTTTAAATAATTCTTTCTCTTAAAAAATAAAAGTATATTAACAAGTGTCTTATTTACTTTCCAAAACATTTCTGCTTTCACTTAGGATAGTAAAGTATGTGAAAACTTCACTCCCATTAAAAGCAACAGTAAATCAAATAAAGTAATTATATATATACATATATATATATATATATATATATATTTTTTTTTTTTTTTTTAAGTGATAAAGCAGGATTTATTGAGAGACAGAAAACTCCCACAGTGGGAGGGGATCTGAAAGGGTTGTCCTATACTTTTTATTTAAAAATGCAAAAAGAGCTGTGAACATACCAATAACAACCAAAACAAAGCAAAATAAAACAAATAATAATTTCTAAAAAGATCCTCTCCCTTCTTAGCCTCCACTTATTTAGGGGGAGGCAGAGAAGGAACAGTGTCTGTTATACAGTCAAAATGAGTAATATAGGGAAAGAGTAGAAGAATGTAATCCATGGTCAAAAGGAAAATAAGTCAATGGCAACTGACCTGGAGATGATCCAGGTGTTAAAATTACTTAAAAAATAATGAAAGTAACTATGAAAATAATTTAAAATAATTATAGAAAAAGATATAGTAAATAAACTCATGAGGAATATCAAAAGAGTTTTGAGGAAATTTAAGTCACCAGAAATCATCTTAAAAAAAAAAAAAAACACAGAGTAAAAGAAAAATTGACTATAAAGTAAATTATGACTCAATTATCTGAGAAGCTGAGAAGCATTCTCAGGTGTTGAAACCTATATGTAATTTGAGTTCTAGAAAAAGTCAGTGTGAATTAGAAAGCAAACAAAATTAAAATCCTAGCAGTTATTTACAGACAGGTTTTAATGTTTGAATTTAAAAACATCTACCCACTACTCCAGGAATCTTAGAAAATTAGCAGCTGACTAAATATTAAGTAAACCCCACCTGGACATATAGCCAAACAACTAAATCCCTAAGATAAAGAGAAAAAAGGAATACAAACAATTAGAGATAAGGGACATATTACATCAGGAAAAGAAAAGAATGAAGCAAAAGCTCAATAAAAAAAAAGTGTCTAGACAATAATAGGATTGTCTTTCAAGCCCCCAGAGGAAAAAAAATCTCACTCCAGACTTGTATATCAAGTAAAATTAATTTCTATAAGATATTGCACATGCAGCTAAAAATTCATAATTTCATTATGTAAATGAAAACTGTATAATTTCTTTTGCCCTCAAATCTATTCTATAAAATTTCTAAAGATATTGCTTCCAATATGGATACAAGATTAAAGCCCACTTCCTTAGAAATGAATGAAGAACACCAAAAAATGTGAAGTCAGTAAATGTAAATACATTTTGGCCATCACGTTTGTTCTTCCATTAGATTCTTGGCTGAGTAGAAGAGAGTAAATGGAGAGATTATGTTGCAATTTTCTTAAAATGTCCACAAAGTAGTGTAATTTTATTTGTTGGTAGACTGCTGTTAGTTAAAATGATTTCTACACAAGGTCATCAAATGTCCATGTAGGGTCTCAATTTTGTGTGCAATGTTAGATAGATCATGAGCTAACATCTATCTTTACATTTTTAATTGATCAAGTTATTTTAACAAAAAGGAAATTATGCAACAGAGAATATGTTTATTATTCTAAACATCTAACATAATTAAAAGCTGGCCCTTTACAGAAAATACATTTCTGATTTTTGCTCTAGAGCAGCTACTTTACACACACACACACACACACACACACACACACACACGATGTTGGAATGTTAATAAGTGAGATGTAATAAACGCAAGATTAATAAAAATGTACAGAGAAAAATAAAAACCTATGCATCAGCAGAATGATATATTCTTGAAAAATGTAAAATGCACATGTTGATGTAAGAAGAAAAAGAGCACAGAAATAAACCTTGTGTCTCATTAAATAATGAAAATAGTATTGAGAGACCTGCAATTCCAGAAATAGCCAAACCTAGATGGTTTTCAGGTAAGTTTTAGAACATCTTCAAGAAAAAATAATAGTTTTTTTTCTAAAATTTGTTATTCAAAAAGCAAGAGAGTTGTAACTCCCAGTTCATTTTATGAGGCTAGTGTAATCTTGATTAAAACCCAGATAAGGAAAATTCAATAAAGAAAAATTATAGATTTATTACTTTTATTATACTTGAGAAAAATTTTAAAGTAAATTTTAATATTAAAAATTCATAAAATTATGAAATTTAATACCATTAGATTATAAAAGCTTTTTGGAAAGCTAGAAATTTAAGGGGTCTTCTAAACTTAAAAGCTTGCATACCAAATACATTCAGCAAGCATCATACGAAAGGAGAAACTAGATGTATTCCTTTTCATGTAGAGAAAAACATAAATTTGTTTTCTGTGACCAGCTACTATTTAACACAGAATTGGAAGTGGTAGATGAGACTGAAAACAAAGGGGAAAAAAGAAATTATAGAGAATGAAAAGAAACATATTACAAAAAACATTATTTGCAGATAATATAGTCTTCTATCAAAATGAAAAAAAAAGGAAACATAAAAATAGTTTTAAAAAAGAGTAAAAAAACAAGTAAAATAATCTATCAGAAAGCAACAGATCAATATTTCCAATTAGTAAATTCTCATTAAAAAATGGAATTTAAAAATAATACCAGTCAGGCTTGGTGGCTCAGCCTGTAATCCCACCACTTTGGGAGACCAAGGCGAGTGGATTGCCTGGGACCATGGGTTCGAGTCCAGCCCGGGCAACTAGGCGAGACCTCTTTCTACAATAAATCAAAAATTAGACAGGCGTGGTAGCGCGTTCCTGTAGTTATGACTACTTGGAAGGCTGAGGTGGAAGAATTGCTGGAGCTCAAGCAGGTCAACGCTGGGGTGGCTGTGATTGCGCCACGGCACTTCAGCCTGGGTGACAGTGAGACTCCAAGTCAAAAAAATAATAATAATACCTTACCAAATGCCAACAAAACTGTAAATTTTATGTCAACCTAGATTATATAAAGCAATTTTAAGAAAAACTTTAAAATTTGAAAAAAAGCCGACAAGATATCATGAATATATGGATAAATGTTTTTTATTTTTGGATAGATATTTTATATTTATGTGGAAAACATTCCAACACTCCTCAAATAAAATAAGTATCTTAAATTGAAATCCCATAGTAATTATTTGAAAAACCTCACAAAATTATTTAAAAATTCAAAGTTCAAAACTCCACTTATTAAAGAATCAAACTTTATTAATAGTTAAATTTAGAAAGGAAAGGATTTACTTTATTGATTGCTAAAAAAATATTTTATTGGCACAAGAACAAACAAATAGGCAAAAAAAAGACAGAAATTTCAGAGACAGAACAATATACCTTCAGTACTCCATAATCGTGATAGAAATGACTCCATAATTCAATTTGTCAAATCAGGTTAAAAGTGGGTCAGTAAAAAGGGAAAAAATAAAATTTGATTCTTATTTTGAAAGATTAAAGTTGTAAATGTGAGAGAAAAATAATCTTAAAAATGATAAAAGAAATTGTAGGAAAATGTTCTGTGACTAAAAAGTGGGACAGGATTTCTTGAATCAGTTTTTGAAAGTACAATTCGTAAGGCAGTAAACAAATAAATGTGTTGATTGATTGATTTTGTGTTCTGCCTTTTTGCATTCTGGTTAACATTTAAGTGTTTTTATGCTTTACATTCATGGCCTAAATTAGATCCTATGATTCTTTCAGGCTCGTTCTGAGTTCAGTCTCCGACTATTTTGCGGCCATGTTTACCAGTGATGTTTGTGAAGCCAAGCAAGAGGAAATCAAGATGGAAGGCATAGACCCCAATGCCCTCTGGGACCTTGTACAATTTGCATACACAGGTACAGTACAAGAATTATGACATCACACTGATGTCATGAATTTTAGCTCTGTTTTTTAAGTACAGGGTAAGTACAGGATGAGTAAATCTTAAAAAAAAACCTTAGCCTGTATTTTTGTTTTTTCAATTGAAGACTATTTAATAGATAAAAGTCAGACTAACTTTTTATTTTTCACTGGAATCACAAATGCATATATGCATACATGTGCATTATTTTCATCCACAAAGAGATATATATTTAAACCAGATTAAATAAGTAAATAAATAGTTAATGGAATGAACTTGAGAGAGGAACAGGAAGAATACTAGGATACTAATTATTAAATAGTAATTTGTTTATTACTGTACTTGCTAGGAATAGGAAAATGATTCTAATAGTATTTCTTTTAGAAATTATGAGTTCAAAATTTTTTTTCCTTGTAGTGTGCTATTTCAATGTTTAAACTTTCACAAAACATTTAATTTGACTTCACAAACTTAGATGGAAACACAATAAAGATACTTGGAGTTGTGAAAATAATTATTTTCAAGCTTTTATTTCTGATCTACTGTGTTGATATTTTCTATTGGTCTTTGTACAGTGTTATTTTTAGTGCATTAAAATAATTTTGCTATATTAGTAAACATTTGTTTAATGTTTCTCAATGTGCAACTATTAACTGTATATCTGGATGTTAAAGTAATAAGTAAGCCATATATTTGCCCTCCAGAAGCTCACAGATCAAGTGAAAAGTTAGATAAGGGAATCAATATTGCATAATACAAACGTTAAAAGACAAAAGGCAGAAAACTTGTTGTTTAAGTCATTATCGAGACACGTTTATTTAAAATGTTTTAATAACTCTTCAAGATTAGAAAGGAAACATAATAAAATCTTGTGCAAGAAACGAAGGCAGATTTATGAATTGATGGTTTGTTTGATGTAATATTTCTTAGAAATGTTCTATCTTTCATTTCTCTTGAATTATTAACTCTGGTGTTATAAGAGAAGAGAAAAATCAGGCAAGGGCCAGAATGTCAAAGCAGCAGGACCCTAGTTTAAAGGGTTATATTTTTGCAAAATTTGTGGTATCAGGAAAAACAAGAAATGGCATCATGAAGATCAGCCATTGAAGCCAAAAGGCCCTGGAACTAAAGGGAATCTGTCCTTTTTGATTTGTCATGGAGAGACATTTGCTAATACTAAGTACATGAAGCTTCTTGGACAAGAAAAGTGTGCATGATCTAGGTACTGAATTTCAGTGCAGTAATGTTAAGGGAAGACACATTTTTCTGGCCTCAATGATTTCTGAATAATATTTTAACAAAACAAAATTTGTACTAGATGAAGTTAAACAGGTAAGCAAGACTTTATTTAAGGCTAATGCAATAGGGGAGAAAGACCAGGACACAGTCTGAACTTAACTCTGCTGAAACAAAGGGTAGGATAATTTTTTAAGTGCTAGAGTGAAAGGAAACATAGGCCATCTGTGTTTGCTAACTGGTTCTACTAAGGGAAAAATAAACTTTTCCATCTTTTTGATGTGTCAGTTTTACAACTTGATACAAGTGTCCACATAAGTTAGGCTTTTACCATCCTACAGAAAATGAGAGATAGGAGAGCTCTCTCTCTTGATGTTTACATTTCAAAGATATATCTTTTGGGATTAGAGAAGTGGATTGTAAAACTGACAAGAGACTTTCAAAAAGACTTATATTTCGAAGAGATAGAGAAAAATATTTACAATTCCATGTTTTCTAAAGTGAATACTCTAAGAAAAGAGATGTCAGGCCTAGAGTCAGGAAAAAGTCTGTCCAAAGTTTAGTCAAACTGAGGGAAATATTAAGGCTATCTTGGTCAATTTCAATTTGCATACAGACTGAAATAGTCATATGAAGGAGCATTTGCTTCTGAGCCAAGAAGTAGCAAACATAATCACTTTATTGTTCCCTGGAAGGAGAAGAATCATGAAGCTAACATTTTAGGAATCCTTCCAGGAACAAAAAGACATAGATCTAACGCTTTCAGGCTCCATGGATTGGCAGCCTTGCATTTCCTATGTGTAGAACTAGGTCAAAAAAAACTCAGCATCCTGCTGTACAAAGTTGGAAGGTGTTTCAAGGCTCCCTGCTGAATATAATGACCCAGATTTGGCTCTGCTTAGTAGTGGGCAGACATGAAACAAATCTACCTCTCAACTTCCACCACCAATTTGGTCTTTGCTCCAATATCTATATGTCCCTGGTGGTTAATAAATTTTCAATTGCGAGTTTACAGAAATGTGTCAGAGAAAGAAAAATAATTAGTGTGGCAATACTTGAGAAATTGTAGGTATGATCTAAAATACGTATCTTTTTTTGCTATATTCAATGTAATGAAATATTGTTATATATAATATAATAATAGAAGAGATCAAGTGAGCATTTGTTCAGAAAGAGAAAAATAGGAGGTATTTATACCTGTGTCTATCTAGCTAACTTAATCTCTTAGACTTTTCTTTAAAGAAGGCTAAAAATAAATGTATACCAGAAGGAGAAAGAAAATGAATGAGCAGGGATATATGTAAAAGATCAGTCAATTGATTTTTTCTTTAATTTTAAGGTTTCTGAGGCTCTGGAGAAACAAAAGAGGATCAATTATGACAAAAACTGATAGTTAACTATTAGTTGTAGGAGTAATGTGTTTAATAAAGATAGGTCAAAATGCCTTAAGGAGATTTAAACAGATAAGATTTTTCATGAATTCTGAACAATCTGTAGGATTTGAAAGAGCCATGTATACCTAATTCTATTTCATTAACTTAGACGAAATTAAGGAAAAGAATAAATGAGTAGTAGCTTGGAAGGAATGTTTGACTATGATAAGCTTTAATGATTATAGTTTAATAATCTTTGATTTGAAGAAAGAACAATCATCTTTGAAATAATTTTATATAGTAAAAAATTGCTCATAGTAAGATATGAGAAACACGTTATTTAACTCCTTTTTATTCCAAGTCCAGCAAAGTAGATGGGAAGTAATGAAATCAGGAACTTTGGAGTCTCAATATAAACTAAAACAAATATTTAGACTTTTTTTTTCTGGTAAATGGGAAAGATAACCTTGGTACTAAGGGGAGAGACCAGTGGTGATAGCTCAAAAGAATAAAAAAAATTTTTTTTAAGAAAAAAACATATGCTAATGAATAGGTTAGTAGCAATAAGTAAAACAGAGTAGGGTTGAAAGAATTAAAGAAAATATTCTTGTAAGTATTTAGGATAATATAATAATAATAATAAAAATAAAATTAATAATAATAATAATAAAATTAATAATAATAATAAAAACTATAATGACCACAGAAGACCACATAATGGAGTGTTAAAATTAGCTTCTTTTCTTAAAATAAAAGCCACCATAAGATCAATTTTTTAACTTATTGTAGTAGCTCAGAAATGGAAAGAAAATTTACAATGGTATTCGTAATAGATGTATATCTAATATGAGTTTCATGTCACTTTTCTAAATTCTTAGTTAATAGTTTAAGCAATTCTGTTTTTGTCTTTTAAACTTTCATTTTCATTTATTTATTTATTTACTTACTTACTTATTTACGGCAGGGTCTCACTCTGTTGTCCAGGCTGGAATGTAGCGGCAGGAACATCGCTCACCACAGTCTCAAGCTCCAGGGCTCAAGTGATCTTTTCAATTCAGCTTCCTGAGTAGCTGGGACTATAAGGACACACCATTATACCTGCCTAATTTTTTAATTTTTTTTTGGTAGAGACAAGCTCTTGCTCTGTTATCCAGGTTGATCTCGATCTCCTGAGCTCAGGGAATTCTCCAACCTCAGTCTCCCAAAGTTCTGGGTTTTTAAGCATGACCTAATCTGCCCAGCTCCTACTGGGTTTTCTTTGTAGTTTTCTACCAGAAAATCTGCTTGTGATCTTCGCCATTTGTAGAGAGCAAAGGCCCATTTTAGCAACAGTGTGTAATATAAAGTAGTGTCCTTTTATAACTGGTCTCTTAACTTTTAAGTGAAAAACTTAGTTGCAATCCTGAGTGTATATCAGTAATTGTAAAAAAGTATATTGGTTTTTCAAGATAATTGTATGTCAGTTTTTCAAACCATAATTCTCTAAACAATATTTGATCACTTATTGCATAAATGGGGTCACACTATGTATTAGGAGAAGATAAGATATAAATTATATACAGATGCTCTTTAATTTACAATACATTTATTTGTATGTAGCCCCATTTTGAGTTAAGGGGCACAGTGACCATCTGATCTGAAACCTTCTTCATAAAAAAATGGTAGAATACAGATTACAATGTCATAAACTAAACAAATTTGATAATGCTTAGAATTATTGGAGCAGAACATAATCAAAAAGGTCTTTAGTTTCAAAAGTAGGAAAATCTATGTATCACTATCTACTTGGCATTCTTAGATATGTAATGACAAGTGGACTTAAAAACAGCTTTTAAAACAGATTCCTAAACACAACAGAGCCTCTGTTCTGTAGTCTTACTCAACTGAAATGTATTATTTATTTATTAGTCGTCTGTAAAGTCAGAGTTGTTCTGGGGTTACTCTGTGAATCAACCTAAACAGCATGAAGTGAGAGAAAAAAAGAATAATGAAGATTCACAGTTTCTTATTACTCTATGCTCAAAACACTTAGAAAGTTAGAGATGTATAGAACTTTAGATATTCTATCCTAAATGTTATTGATTTTACAGATGAATATTTTTCTATGCTAGGCATGGGCAAACCAGCATAACCAAAATATGTTCTGAGAATTACATATTTCAAATAAGCATTGATAAAATCATCTTGAGATAAATCACATAGGTCTTAGTCTGTTTCAAATTAATACGAGGATGCAGATATATGCTCAAGGCCTCTGAAGGTTTTAATGTACCCCAGTCAGTGAGATAAAGTAGCCTGATATAACTCAGTAGTTAGTGTTGACTCTGTTATTGGAAAGGAATGTCAGAACACAAATTGAAGTGTGTTTTCTCTTCACATTGCTCCC